GTTGGCGTGCATGCTGATTTTACACTGTTTTCAATGGGGCTTGAATTAGTGGACTGGACCCTTAAAATGTTTTCAAGTGCCGCGTTGCAGTTGTTTGTTAAAAGTGTCACTTCGCCAAAAAAAAAAAGTCCGTCAGAAAGGGCGTCTAGAAAATGAAATAATCAGGATGCATTTTCTGGATTCTGGATGGGTCAAGAAATTTAGCGGGGGTTAGAGGCCGTTCGAGCTTTAGGTCCGCCGATGTACGGTACACTGTACTTTTCTTTTCTTCTTTTTCCTGTTCTTTTAAGTTCTTTAGCCTGGATTCTTCAAGTTGATTTGTTTTGTCTGAGTTCTACTGCGTCGGTTTTTCGGGCTATATCTTGGATGTCTCCCATTGTCTAACAATTGCGATTCCGTCTCAAATTATAGCTATGCACGCTGTGGCTAAAATGAGCCCACATACCAGGACGAATTAGATTTCAAATGTTTAGTGTGCATTGACTTGCACATCATGCAAGTTGTTCAAAGTTGGACAAATTGCTGTCCTTTCCTTAAATTAAACTTTATAAATATAAGATTGACAAACACACTGAAAAAAGTTTTGAAAACAAAAGCTATGTATTGCAGCTCCGGTATTGTTGCCTTGCATACAGTTTGCATTATCCACGGAAAATATTTGTGATTGACACTGTGAATGTCCAGTAATGCTTAGATGACAATGATGAACTTCGCACGGTAAGCCAATATAATACGGGCGTTTCACAATAGTGCGCCTCCAAGAGTTTGCCACGCGTTGCCCAATCACAATGCGCGACATTTCGACTCAATGCATGTTTCGAAAGGGTCGACAGTTTTCGCACGTTCTGATTGGCCAACGCGTAGCAAACTCGAGGAGGCGCACTATTGTGAATCGCCCGAATTATACAGAATTTCGGTGCCTTTGTAATACAAGGTTATAATTCAAGGTGTAATTTGCCATGGAGCCAAACTCGTGGTACTCTAAATGCAATGACGTCCACATCCAATTTGCGACTTTTCATGTTAAAAAGTGTACCGTTCTATTCCAATTGTTCTATTTCCAAAAATTGCACTTTTGTTCCATCATTAATTACTGTTCAAGTTGAACGATGACGCATCGTGTAAAAGCGCTCTACACATGGCCATTAGGCCCGAAACAATGTTACTATAATTTCAGCGGAATCGACTGTAATTTGACCTTTCGTTCTAAGACTATTATCTTGAGTTACTCAACAGAGGGACAGCTGGCTAGCAATTTTCTTGCTTACTTCATCTTTGTCACATGAATGACGAAAAGCATATGATAAATAAGGCTTTTTCGCTGTAAAAAACGGCAAAGTAAGAGGGCAGCACTAACAGATAAACAACCACAACAATCTTTTTAGCCCTTTTTCATATCAAACGGCTCAGTTCAGTACGTGTTATTGCTTGGTCCCGAAACTCACGGTACCGGGTGCTCTTGCTTATATTGCGCCGGG